GTTGTCCTGCCTGATCTCCTGTCATCCCGTCCAACTGTCAATGTACTATGTCCAGCTGCAGACTCATCGTCTTCTTCCTCTTCGTCATCGTCGTCCTCAAGAGGCATCCGTGTGCCTTCGCCCTGCATACCCGCTAGCATGGTGTCTTCATCCTCCTCCTCCTCTTCTTCTTCGTCATCATCAACTTGCGGTACTACAGATTTCTTCCTGCTCTTTGATGCAGAGACTTCAGTGACATCACCCTCAGTTTCTTCTTCTTCATTGACTTCTGTAGCATCGGTAGCGACGGTCGCTTCGGGCGTTGCTGTGCGCTCCACCTCTGTGTCTTGGACTTGTGTAGCTGCCTCGCCCAGTCGCTTGGTTAATGTAGATTCTAACTTTATCAAAGCATTGCGCTGCGTTGCATCTGTGCCAATTTTTCCTTCCACTGCCTCAGATACTAACTCATGCAGAGTGCGGAAGCTTTCTTCGTTGAGCGCGCCTTCTTCTCCCTTGGGAATTGGGCCAGAAGGTGCAACGAAGAGTTTACCCAGTAGGGATAGTAAAGGTTTTCGCTCATCTTTCGAGCATGTACTTGTCAATGCACGTTCCAAGATCTCGATCGCGAGCTGCACATGTGGTTCTTCAGCCTCAACAATGGTACTCGTCTTTCCGTCGAGACCGAGTTCGGTAGCGCCCACCACTTTACGGCCATCCGTCCATTCGGCAAGGTGAGCAGTGATGACAGGCCAGCCCACCATCTCGTCCACATCTTCTTCCTCGACGTTCTCATCGCGCATGATAAGTAGCTTCGAAATCACTGGCACAGCAATCTCGCTCATCAGCTTTGCGTTCTTGAGCTTGGAATGACAGTATACGGGAAGAAAGTAGCTGAGCGCTTGTCTCAGCGCCGGGTTCGTCGCCGTCTCGGGGTCAAAGTATGTAAGGACAAAAGCTTTGAGGACTTCGACCGTGGTTTGAGGGGGCAAGATACCCAAGAGAAGAAGTTTCGACGCCGCGGTACAGGAGATTAAGCTGATGCGCTTGTTGTCCGAGCTGAATGCTTTCAGCAAAATCTTTGTCATAGGGCGGACACGCGGGTTTGTGATGGGCTCTGCATCGTCTGTGGACGCATCTGGGTCTGAGATCGTAGGCGTAAGGAACTGAGGATGTGTGATTATCACATCACTCAGTACTTGGATGACGATTTCCTTGAGCGCGTCGTGACCCTTCATGAAGCAATGGAAGAAGAGATCAAGATTGTTGTCGGCGAGATCCTGTTTCGTGTCAACGTAGCCTACGCAAGTCTCACTGTTCTCTACTTACCTTGCTGAGGAGGGCGGCCAGTCCCAAGCAGATGACACCACGTTCTCTGATCATAGACTGGTGAGCTTGGACTGCAGGAATGATGAGCGTATTCAGAATACTGGTTAGCGAAGTGTCTGACTCGAGGTCTCCTTCGACATTCTGAAGTGTGCATTGGGCGATATGCAGACACTTTGAGTAAACCATAACTTCGCGAATTTGTCGTTCTTCTTTCTCTTCTTCAGTGAGGTTATCCGCAGCTTTTGCAGTCTTGGGCTTAATCAACGGCGCGTCGCCGTCTGCATCAGATTGAGCGGAATGGAAACTCTCCTCAGCATCCTCTCCAGTGACTGTGGCGTCATCGGCATCCAGCAAAGAATCGCGAACATCTGCAACAGCCTCTACGATCAGAGCAGTGAAGTCTTTTTCGCCGCGACTGCCGCAAACCTTGCGCAACACCTCGATAGCAAGCTTAGTACACTCTTCCGGCAGCTGAGCCTTAGCAATGGCTTCGCGCATGATGTTGTACATTTGCCTACGACCCATTTCATCCGTGTAGTCAAGGGTGTGGGCGATATGGAGTAGTTGCTGAACAATGAAATCCTGCTCCTCGACGTCTTCCTGTGCTTCTTCAACCTCGGGATCATTCTCTTCCATGATAGCAACCTTGTCTACCAATTCCATCAGGGAATTGAGCTCTCTTTGCAGGACAAAAGCGAACATGGTGACTTCTGGCATCTTGTCCTCAATCATACTTTGGACTCTCTCGTCAGCAGTACTATGACTGTAATCGTTCAAGGTGCGTGCAATGAAAGCCGTCTGCGCATCGAGGTTGTTCCAGAACTCATGGTCGAATGTGATTTCTTTGCGGTAATCTGGTCGACCGTCCCAGAATTGGCGCATCGCTTCGTGAGCCATGCCGTCTTCTTCCCCAGACCTGGTGACATCGATACGCTCGAGAAGCTCACAAAGCGCCTCAAGGTTTGGAGGAGCTACATCTCCTGGTTTCTTTTCCTCTTCTGGTCGTGTGTCGCGTGACTTGGCACAGTCCTCGAGCCAGCGTTCACGGAACAAAACTGCAGCAGCTTTCCGGACGAGATCGTCTCGATCCCGGAGACCCCATCGGATGAGTTTCTCTCGCTCTACAAGCGACATGTGTCGAAAGTCACCCAGAGCGGGCAGGATCTTGCCGTATACTAAGCGGCGAGTGGTTGCGTCCATGTCTCGGGCTCGTTCTAGAATGTAACGAAGGGTGGACGGCCATAGCGGCAGGTTTAGCAGAACAGCGCGTCGGACTTCAGCGCTCGGATCGTTGATCATAATATCCAGGAGCTTTTCGAGGATGCCGCCTGCGCCTTCATCGTCGCTATCTTCGTCGTCCTGCTCGTCATCGTCGTTGCCAGCCAGACGACCCAAACCCAGGATGGCCTGCACACGCACTGAGGGCTCTTTATCCCGCAGACGTTTCGTAAAACCCAGTCTTATCAAGTCAAATATTTCGTCGTCGATGGTTGTGAGGCTATTCACGATGTGTGCAACCGTCTGCGTGGCTCGAAAGCGGATCGTCTTGTCCTTGGCCGTCAGCAGCGCGAGGATGGTGGTGAGGATCTGAGAGGTGAGTCGACTGCTGGGCGTTTCATGGAAAGCTGTGGCTTCTTCTTCTGTCTCGGCAGCGAAGATTGTTTGGTCTTTCTCAGAGGCATGCTTCAAGAATATGCCCAGGAAGCGGATGACCCTATCTCCGACTGGCTCGCTCTTCTTGACGCACATGATCCTGAGCACACATCTCACCACCTCGGCGTTGAACTCTTCCTCGTCGAAGTCTTCCTGCTCCTCGCCCTTGTTCTTGTTCCCACCCTTCTTGCCCGTGTCTGGTGGCTCGAAGCAGCATGCTTCTTGTATCTTCCTCAGGTTCACCACTAGCTTCCTCTGTGTCGCCGTCGTCTTTTGTGCATCGCTGAAGACCTGGGCGATCTGTGTTCGGAGCGAGGTTACGGGGCCTTCATCGGGGATTTCGACGGCATTGGAGGACTGCCTGGCGGAGGATGCGCGCGTGGATTTGGTGGTGCGTGTTGTCGAAGTGGCGGATGATCGCGGCGCACGCGTCGATGTACGGCCGACCATTGTAGCAGTGTTGTCAGTTGGGTGTGGTGTCGTCCCGTCTCCGCCTCGAGTTGCGGTCGTCGGTGTTGTTCAACTGTTTACTGACCCCACGCGGCAGCCCACTCACGGCTGCAGGGGTCTCGCGCGGCAGGGGTCCTGCATCTGCGACATCGGGCGAAAGCGCGTTGATTCGCCGACCAGCCGAATGGCATCATCGTGAAGCCCAGAAGTCCAACTTTGTCATCTTGACTTGTGTTTGCCTCTTTCTGCCAAACAACAATGTTCAGAACGGCCGCGCGAAGCTTCGCTGCCTCGGCATGGCGGAATGCAGAGAGCCTCAGTCAAATAGAGGCTGCACAGCAGACTGCCATCAACATCTCAAAAGCCCAAGGCATTGGTCAGCGGGGCTTCCTTGATGGTACTATGCTTTGACATTCACACTTTGTAGCTTTTTGTGCTAATACTCCATTGTAGCCATCGGTAAAACTCCTCTTATCCGCCTCAAGCGCCTCTCCGAAGAGACCGGCTGCAATGTCCTAGGAAAGGCCGAATTCCAAAACCCTGGTGGCTCCGTGAAGGATCGCGCCGCCCTCTTCGTCGTCGAAAACGCCGAGCGCCAGGGTCTCTTGAAGCCTGGCGGCACCGTCATCGAGGGTACAGCCGGAAACACTGGCATTGGTCTCGCACACGTCTGCCGTTCCAAAGGATATCGATTGGTAATCTACATGCCAAACACACAATCTCAGGGAAAGATCGACTTGTTGCGATTGCTCGGTGCAGAGGTATACCCAGTACCGGCGGTGGCGTTTGACAACCCAGAGAACTACAACCACCAAGCGAAGCGACACGCGGACAGGCTTGAGAACGCCGTCTGGACGAACCAATTCGACAACGTGGCGAACAGGCAGGCGCATATCGAGACTACTGGTCCCGAGATCTGGCACCAGACAGGTGGCAAAATCGACGCCTTCACCTGTGCCACTGGTACTGGAGGCTCGCTCGCAGGTGTAACGAGGTATCTGAAGGAGAAGAGCGACGGGAGGGTCAAGAGCTTCTTGGCCGATCCACCAGGCTCCGTGTTGCATTCATACATCCAGAGTGGCGGAAAGCTTCAAGAACGCCAGGGCGGTTCTATAACAGAGGGAATCGGCCAGGGACGTGTAACAGACAACCTGAGGCCCGACATTGACCTCCTAGATGGCTCCGTGCATATTAGCGACGAGAAGACCATCGAGATGGTCTACAGATGTCTAGACGAGGAAGGTCTGTACCTTGGCGCAAGTTCGTGCCTGAACGTCGTTGCTGCGAAAGAGGTGGCCGAGAAGATGGGCAAGGGATCAACTGTCGTTACTTTGCTGTGCGATGGTGCATACAGATACGCCGATCGTCTATTCTCAAAGAAGTGGTTGGAGCAGAAAAAGCTGTACGATGCGATACCCGAGCGGTTGCGCCGATACATCGTCCTTGAGTAGCTGGCTAGTAAGACGTAGAATACAACAACGACAAGTTAACAACAAACGATTACGATCTCGTTTCGACTAACTTATATTGCAACTACATTCATGTCTATAGCTTTACCTCTAATCCTTCTGTTTGTACCGCAGAGTACAACCCTAAATCATCGGGCCTCCACTGGCGAAGCCATTGACAACGGCTGTCATGCTAAAAGCGGGTATACGAAGTCAGTATAGGCTCACATGCAACTCATACAGGGGCACTTACAGCTGGTTTGCAATCGCGGTCTTCGGTGGTAATCTCAGTCCACCCTCTTTGTATTCTGGCCCAGCGTCTTCACCAAGTCCACTAGTACCAACACGAAGCGCCTCTCTGACTTCCTCTGCTGTGAACCACTTCGCATCTTCCAACTCAGCGTCGTGTCCTAGATGAATCGTCTCTCCTTCCGGAATCGCCTGTCCGACAGCGCCAATCATAAGGTTGGCAGGATAGGGCCAGGGCTGAGTGCTGTGAATCACGACACGACCGAGATGAATGCCAGATTCTTCCCAGACTTCGCGACGCACAGCTTCTTCCACACTCTCAGCAGGTTCGAGGAAACCGGCTAGGGTAGAATACCAGTTAGGAGGCCAGCGCTTTTGGCGTCCTAGTAGGATCTTCTTTCCATCGGCGGATACAACGGCCATGATGACAGTTGGGTCAGTCCTAGGGAAACAGAGGTTTGAGATACCAGTTCGAGTTGCGCAAGGTGGGCGCTCGCCTTGATTGACTTCAGATGCGATGTCTTTCGGCGGGCAAGTGCGCTTGAAACCTGCGTTTACGGACATGGTCTTGTAGCCGCAGGAAGCGCAAAAGGGGTTCCGCGCATTCCAGTCGAGAAGGTGGCGGGCTTCCGCGTATATGGCCGCTATCAAGTGTCAGTCACAACACTCCGCCCGTTGATGGGAATGAGCAACAATGGCTTACCTTCCTCAGCCTGTAGATTCAAGTTCATCCTTCCCTTACTAAACTCCAGACCCGTGCTTGTTAGTTTCTCTAGCACGCCTTCTGCCTTTTCCTTCACACTCTCCTTAGGTGTGACATCGACGGCAAACCATGGCTGTCCTTTGTAATGCTCCTTGTACGTGAATCCCTCTTTCTTTTCATCGAGACCTAAGAAGATTATCTGCGGAACATACAAACTCGAGTTGTACTGCGCGATGACCTCTTCCTCAGATTTCTCGAATGGGTTATCGCCAATAACTGGCTTCACATCGGAGAAGCTGCAACGTGCAAGTTCGGTACCGGACTTTGTGAGGGGCTCGAGATCCTTGAACAATAGGAATGTAGTACTAGGATGATGGAGGGCCGAGGAGAGGAACTGGTGGTCAGGACGCAGGAAGCCTACGCGATTGAGTGGGGAGCCTGCATGATGCTATTAGAAACAAGGAGCAGAAGGGGCATAGGTGGGTTATCTAGGTACCAGAGAAGTAGTTTGCAACTTCCTTTCCGAATCTACGGCTCAGCATTGAATCTACTTCTGGATGCGCTGGCTCGGGAAGCGCGGGTTGCGGTGGCATCGTCCGGAATCTTATGACGTCTTGTCACCTTGAAATAGCAGTCCAAAGATTATAAGCTTCAAATTGGTAGTAACAAGACTTTAGACAAAAAGATCCAGGTACAAAATTAAGGGTAAATGTCACCGACAGCAAGGCGACTGACGTCTTCACTTTGCTTTGCCCCACGCCGCTAGACAACGGTGCATTACAAACCATAAGGTGTGGTCGAGTGTCCGAGGTTCATGTTCTTATCGATATGGACTTCTGGTAACAACGCGTGTCGCACACATAGCCCATCTCCCAGCCCCTACATGGAGTTAAGACAGCAATAATGAGTCGCTTCTATGTACGTACAACAAACAAGTATTGTAATCTACTTTGCAATTCCAAAGGGCGTGGCGACTAATCCTCTCTCATCAGTTCGGCGACGACTCGCGCTCAGCGTCCAGCGACAACGACAACGAAGACGAAGATGACCCCTCCTCTCTCCCCTTTGCAACACCCCTTCGCCGATCGGACTTCCTCGACTCGGAATTTTCACCGGCAACATATCTCTCTACGCTCCACAATCGACACCAAACTCTGGAAGACCTACGTTCAGAACTGCGCTCGCGATCGCAGCTTCTGTCCAAAGAGCTGCTAGACCTCGTCAACAGTAACTACCAAGACTTCCTTAATCTGGGTAACAGTCTACACGGCGGCGAGGAAAAGGTAGAGGAGGTACGAGTAGGGCTTCTGGGCTTCAGGAAGGATGTCGATAGCTTGGTTGGTGTGGTGGGGGAAAGAGAGGAGGAAGTAGGAGAATTGTTACAAGAGAGGAGAGACACCAGGGAGAAGATCGAGTTAGGAAGACGCTTAGTCGACTATGATGCTCGGCTTAAGGAATTGGAGACTGAGCTTATGATCGAGACGGCGGGGCACGAGACAATCATACTCGGGGAAGAGGTCTCGGACAGCGAGGATGATGAAGAGGAAGAGGAAGAGGAAGAGGGCTACGGTGTGTCGATTGTCAAGCTGAGGCGAAATGTCGTGCATTACCAATTGGTGCTGGGGTTGCAGAAAGACTTGGGCGAGCATCCGTTTGTGGCGGCCCAGGCAGCCAGAACAGCAAAAGTGCGGAGTACACTATTGATGGATCTGAGTACTGCGCTGCAGCAGGCGAAAAGCGCTGGCGCTTCTGGCTCTGGTCGCGTGATGAAAGTAACGAAGATCTACGCCGACATGGAGGAATCTGCCGAAGCAGTCAAGGTCCTCAAAACACTCAAGTCGTCATAGAAGAAGACTTCAACCAGCATAGCGACGGCGTTCGGTATGGTACATTGTTCATACATCCCAGAAAGCTATATTTACAGAGGTCCACTCAACTCCTTTGGCGATATGGACTCGGGCCCTCTGAAGTCTCCACTCAATGAGAAGCCAGGTGAGTTCGTCGAGCTGAGAACCACCTCGTGGATCTCCTTGTTGATGCGATCACTCATCTGCGCCATGTCCTTCTTTAGCGCATCCATGAATGCCTTGACATTTCTTTGCATCTCTTCCGGTGTGAAGCCTAACTGGCCAACTGCCATGCGAATGACGCCCAGACGTTCTCTGTACTCGCTACCACCAACCATATTCCGGACACTGGTGCCCACCTGCGTGACAACCGTTCCTGCCTTTGTGCTGGGCATCAGACCCTTGGGACCTAACACTCTTCCTAGCCCCGCTTTGTTCATCTTTTGGAGACTATCAATGTGACACACACATCTGTCAAAGTCGATCTTGCCTTCCTTGATCTGGTTGAATATTTCGTCCTCTCCTACCAGCGCAGCACCAGCAGCCCTGGCTTCAGCGGCGGCTTTGGAGTCGGGGGCGGCGATGACACAGATCCGTATATCGGTCTTGACAGGGTGAGGAAGCCGTAAGCGGTTTCGTACTACAGGACCGTTTTTGAGTGTGCGTAACCGAACGTGTAGTTCGTATTTGGAGGAAGACGGGTTGCGGCCTACTTCAAAGGCGCGGATATATCTGTTCTACCGTCAGTCCCCGACCGTGGTACGTTCCGATGCAGGCCTGGGCAGAACATACTGCATTGCGTCGACGAGTGAGAATTGATCTGCCCTCTTCAAGTCATATTGCAGAAATGTGTTCCGCGCCTTCTTCTTTTTCTTCGGCTGTGCTTTGGTGGTTGCGCATCGTATCGACTGGTACGGTACTGGGGCGAAGCGCTGGACTTGTGGTCTCGATACGGCGATTGAGCTTGTAGTGAGCCTGCTCAGAGGAGCTATTAACGATCGTGGGTGTGCCATTGCTGCTTCTGCAGGCGTAGATGGTGGTCGCGATTGTGCCAAAAGTTCGGTCGGCGATTCGGGAATGCCAAGACATGATGCCGCTAGTACTCTGCCACCCAACTGCGCCTTTGCCATCCTCCTGCGCCCACATCTTTCATGCCCGTTGCATCTCATCCCATAGCTGATTGGGAAAGTCGCGAGCTACTATCCTATGGACTGTTTGGGTACATCCCGACTGTACCGTTCGCGCCACAACAAGCCAGGTAAATTGAAGCGACCACGGCCACTACCGAACCCAATACTACCGCATGTTGAGCGTCAAGGCCTGATATCCTATACGACCTTCCCTTAGAAAGCAGTGTCACGATTTTTTGCGCGGGATTAGTTTAAGAGCTTCTTGTCAAGCACAACAAGCATTAATCGATCTCAACTAAGCGTCAAAGTCCTGCAGGTAACGACTGCACAGCCGGTGCCTTTATGCTTATCAGTAAGCAAAGGTGGTCATACCAACATATGAGCAAACCGACCCAACGGAATGCACGTCCGTCGGCTGAACAACATGCAGTCAAAATACAGGATTCTAGCTTGCCAAAGCCTAGTATATAGCCACAAAGCTTTTTCATTTGCACGTCCACGTTCTGGAACGTCCCTGTGGTGGAGGTGTCTATCGTTATGTATCAGCCCGCTGTCCGGGACTGTTCATCTATTGGTGCGTGAGGTAAGGCCCTCTACCTGTAGGTATGACAGACGTAAGAGTCACAAAGTACCGGAATGACTAGTCCACTCGTAGAAGGCTGTATTCCCACGCTAAACCATGTTTAGTGTTTACCGAGCTTAAAGAATGCCGATTGGACTCGTTGTCTGATCTATTCCGATATGTGCCTGCCTTCACAGGGCTGAGCAGAGCGCAGTATAAATGTTGGTATGCTCTTACTGGGTGGGGTAGCCTCGTCCTGCAACACTTGGTCCGCCATGGATAACGTTCTTTTCACACCTCAGTTGAAATTGACGCTCATTACGACAGCAGAGAGAGGAAGTCAAGAATTTGGATGGCTACATGAGCTACGCAGTGATCCGAAAGCGTCTTTCTGGAGGTAGGTCATCATTCTTTTCCTTAGTTACCAACAATGCACCGTGTGTCAAACATGATGATGTTATACTAACGCGTCCCAGTATTGACGGAACCGCCAAAACCGTTGAAGACACCGAAAGGTTTCTTAAGAATGCTTTACCTGTTACTGTCAAGGATGGCGAAACCAAGTCCCACCGGATTGCTTACGCCGTACACGAGTTGCTTCACCCTGCTGAGAACGATGCAGTAAACAAGGAAGATATCCCAACCCGCTTCGTTGGACTTATTGGCGTCAAAACTTTGGGTCCGCACAGCCTCGTTTTGCGATCCGACATTCTACCGCCCTCCACATTCGAACCTGGATGTCTTACTGTTGAAATGGGTTACAGCTACCTGCCATCTGCATGGGGTAAAGGTTACGCAACGGGTGCTGTAAGAGCAGTGATTGATGCTTGTAAGAGAGGGAAGACCTTTTGGGAGCCGTGCGACAAGGTGTTTGTACGAGCCATCGTTAGCCCCGAAAACCCGGCGAGTATGCGTGTGATGGCCAAAAGTGGTATGAAGGAGCTCGGGATGCATTTCTGGGACGGTGAAGGCCAGTCAATATTTGTGGGGGGGAAATGGAGGACGACGGATGAGTTGCATGTATTTGGTACGTTTGTCCTTGAATGAGACGACAGGACCTGGTAGTCTGATGTAAGCACCACTGAGTGAGATGGTAATCTAGAAATGCGCGGTTCACTCGTACCCTGAGATTGAATCACGACGCATCTCGGTTGTGTCATCTCGAGCAGGAGTCCCGTAGGAGGCTCATGTGGAGTTTATTCACGACATATTACCAGTACCGTATAATCTAATCAAGTCGCATTTCGGTGACGCATACCTAGGTTCGCATGGTCACTACCTGTATTAAGCAAGTTAGCCAACGAATACCATAGTTTGATGTAAAGGTCCGGATAAAGAACCGTCGCAAACAACGAATGACTATAACCGTAGACGAGAGTGTTATCTCACAAGTTCCTCTGCTTTTTCCCAGTGACAACGTACCTTTAAGGTGAGCAAACACTACAACAAGTAGTTACGCATTACTTGCGCGTGTGTAGGCCCCTGCGCTTTCACATTCAAAGGACCATGCTACTTTCATTCTCTAGCTGACATGCACGTTGCACATAAAGCCTGGCCCATGGTCAGCAGACGCCGCATATGGGACGTTGATCCGCCATCAATCAATCGATCTATCAAGCAGACGCCGGATCTAGAAGGCAGCAATCGTATATGCAAGCCAACATGCACTCAAATTTCTAAAGAGTTGCACTTTTGAATTCAGCCTCGCCAGATCTTGTAGTCATTGGTCACTGTACCACTGTATATGCATGTAAGCTGAGATACTATGAGTTCCCACCTGTTTGCGGTTTTCCTATCTTCGTTGTGACGAGTAGGCGGCACGACTTGCTAACGATAGGTCATTTCCAGCGGAAGGACGAATATTTCGAGTAACGTCTGGAACGGGAATAGCGAGAAGCATGCATTTCCTAGAATATAAAGAGAGCCGTCATCATATCTCACCAATACTGTTCCATAATCTGAAACTCAAATCCATCCTCATCATCATGTACCTCCCCACCACCATCGCAGCGCTCCTAGCCGCCAGTGCACACGCCTCCATTCTCGGCGTCAATACTTTCTCCTCCACAAGTAAGGCCCTCACACTCACAATCTAGTTTCCCTCCCACTATGTACTCACCGACCTCCAGGCTGCCAAGCTTTCCAAGAGAACATTCACATCACGCAACCCAGCCACAACCGCGGTAACTTCCCAGGCGGTCGCCGCAGCTTCCAGATCGTAGAAACAGATGCAGATTGCAGTCTGATTGTCTTTGAGGGCCGCGATAACACGGGTGGAAAGCTGAACTTCGGGAACCAGAAAAACAAGGGAACCTGCTGGGGTGCGACGGACGGGAGGGTGTACCAGAGTTTCGACGTCTATTGTGCATGAGGGGCGGCAGGAGGTGGTTAAGGTGTTACTCTCTTGTTTAAGGAGTAGCGGAAACTGGGATCTCGTAGTAGACTAGAGGTTCAGCATGTTGACACAGGTCATGCCTGACCAATTCAAGGCTCTCCCAGGTTAGTGAATCTTAGGATCAATTGTGTATCACCTACCCTCGAGACGGTTGCTTAGAATTCAGATCTTGCCTTGTCTCTGGGTCTATTGCAGCAGCTTGCTCCGTACTCACGTACCATTGGACACTTGAATATAGAGGCATAATTTTGGAGTAAGTGGAATACATGTTCCATGGAAGAATCCTGCTTTGGCAGCTTGGAAGCTTGGAAGCTAGGTACCTAGGTGTACGGTACCTGATCTCTTGCAACCAGGAGATGGAAAGCTAAAGACTAAGTTTACTCGGAAGATGAAGTTGTTGATGAGAGATACCTCCTACGCCATTGAGCATACATGGCTGGTGTCTCAGTGCTCTCATGACGTAATGCTTAGTTCGGCGTCCAAATTGCCTCCGTACCCCAACAGCGACCAAACATCGGCGATAATACCGATACTCACCTTCCCAACAGATACATCGCTGATCATGTCCACGGTTCATCATGCGCAACATGAAGATGTGGGTTTACCCCGCACGTCTGGGGTAAAACCGTAGCTGCTATATCCGGGATTGGTTTGCCGAAATGATACTATTACTATGACCTATACTGGACTATCTCAATCGCATAGTCGTTGAAAAAAACCATTCACTTGACACCGATCGTTTGCCACACGCGGATTCAGAGATACAGAACTTAAGCCGAGTCAAGCCAACATGAGCAAGTCTTTAGACGGGGAGAAACAGGAACACCTCGAACATGTCGACATCGATACAGCCAAGCAGCAGCATGGAACACTGCAAGAGTATGGAGAAGAGATAGACATCCATGATGAGAAGTATAACAAGAAGCTCAACCGACGTCTCGACCGACGCGTTCTACCACTGTGCTGCTGGGTCTATCTCTTGAACTTTCTTGACAGAGGTATACATTTTCCAACCACAACACCAACACTGGTCCAAAGTCACCCTAGCTGATACTTGCAACAGGAAACATTGGAAATGCCCGCGTGCTCAACACCGAAACGGGCGACGACATGCTCACGAACACGGGTCTGACACCACATGGCTATGCCCTGACTGTCACGCTCTTCTCCGTGGCTTACGCCATCTTCGAAGTCCCAAGCAATTTCGTCATGAAACACTACATCCGGCCTTCTAGGTGGCTCGGAATTCTTCTATTCGCGTGGGGAGCATTAACCATCGGCTTTGCGGGTGTCCAAAACAGTGCCACAATAATTGCGTTGCGGTTCTTGATCGGAGTCTTTGAAGCTGGTTTCTTTCCTGGTACATTCAGAATGTTCTGTGAAAGCGATACATCTGCGCTAATCATATGTTGTTAGGAATCGTCTACTTCATCACAATTTGGTACCGCTATAACGAGCGCGCAGTGCGCATCGCACTCGTGATCGCATTCTGTAACCTCGCTGGAGCTTTTGGAGGGGCCATCGCGTTCGGGGTCGGGCACATTAATGGAGCAGCCGGCCTTGAGGGGTTCCGCTGGCTTTTCATTATTGAAGGCATCATCACCTTACTTTCTGCCTTTCTCTTATGGTTTTTCCTCCCTGATTATCCAGCTCGAGCCAAATGGCTCAGTAACGCCGAGAAGAAATTCGCAGTTGATCGTCTAGCCGATCGCGGTGGCGGTTACAACCAGGAGCATGCTACCAGAAAGGAGATTCTGGACACATGTTTTAGTCCACGAATGTTGTTGCACTACATCGCATATGTAGCCGACGTCGTTCCTCAGGGATCTTTTACGTTCTTTACGCCTACTATAGTCACCGGCCTAGGCTACGTAAGTGCCCTTGTGCGAACTGCATGTGAGACATAAACTGACTTCGCGCACACACCTTTTAGGAGTCTATTCATGCCCAGCTTCTGACAGTCCCGCCATGGGTCGTCGGCTTTTTCGTCGCTATTACTATCTCTTACTCTGCGGATCACTTCAACGCTCGTGGCTGGCACATCACTATCGCATCGCTTGTTGGAGGCACAGGCTGGCTAACTGCTGGTCTCCTTCCTGCTGACGCCTATGTTCAGCGCTACGGCTGTTTATGTATGGCAGCTGCAGGAGCCTTTCCAGCTGCGCCTTCCATGACGAATTGGGTGACCTGCAACTCGCCGAGTTTCCTCACTTTACCACTTGCCATTGCCCTGCATAACTCCTGTGCAGGTCTTGGCCAGATTATCGCGCAGTGGATTTGGATGAACAGCGAAAGGAGTCAAGGATTTCCAACAGGAAATTTCGTGTGCGCTGCGTGCAGTTTCCTAGTTGCTGCAATAGCAACGATTCTTCGGCTTTGGTATGGAAGGATGAACAAGCTAGAAAGGTCAGACAGTAGAGGCGATCAGAGAGTTTGGGCCTTGTAGACAGGTGAGGTTATGAGTATTCAAGGTTTATATCTCCAATGCTCCATCATTTGCCCCCATCTATTGCTTCAACAACCATTTCCTCAATGCCTTTGTCATTATCTCGTGCGTCCTACTTGTTAGATGACCTGAGTTGTACCAAAAAAACGTATCCAACTCCGTACATCCATATTTGCCGGGATCTGTCAGGATGTCTGGCTGGTTGTATCCAGGGCAGTAGTTTGTGACGTTCTTGAATCCGTAATCTTGGTAGTGATCCAACACGTTGTTCAAAACACTGTTGACATCGAACTGGAGCACCTTGACGTCTTTGTGTTGGTTTTGAAAGGCATCGGCATGCTCAGCATGGATCTTGTTGAAAGAAGAGACCATAGAGGCGTTGACATTGGGCGTTCCCGGACCACGATCCAGGGGCGGCAGGTTCATGAACAGGAAGTTCTTGTAACCTAAACTGTATATCTTCTCCACGCTCTTGAATAACCTGTCCTGGACCTTTTCATAGCTCGGTGCGAAAGTTGCATTCTTGCCTTGAGTAGAAACAAGGTCGTTGATGTCGTTGATACCAATCCATATCGCAACTAGTGCCTTCTTCTTGTTGAGATCGATTGATTCAAGGGCCGGGTTACCGTAAGAGACGAATTGTTCTACTTGACGTTCGAGCGAGACGGTATGGTTGTGGTGTAGGGGGGTGAATCCAGCTTCGTTGATAGTGTTTGCACCGGCATATGCAAAGTCCCAGAGTTGAACATCGCATTTCCTTGGGTCATGCAAGCCATCCTCAACACCACATTCGGTCAAGAACTCGACCCAGTTTGGTCCTCCTTCAGCCGTTCCCGTGAGATTCTGCACAATGCGATCTGAGAAGAGCTGTTTGGGCGTGAAAGAGAAGTTGAACTCATCTCCGATGAAAGTATAATTCACATGACCAAGCGTGCCTTGTACATATGTGTAGCTATCGCCAAAAGCTACCAGAGATTTCGTAGAGCGCCACTTGAAAGAACCGTGCGTTTGTTTCGGATAGCTTGGGGCTGCTATTGCGTGCGCACACAGCGTTAAGGAGATGCATGAAGTAGTGGTAAGCTTCATGGTGGCCGAGAAGAAGATGTTTCGGAAGGCTTGATAACCCTAATCATGACTTCTGGTAGGCTTGGCTATAGTTATATCGTCCATGGCATTGAAGACGGAGCCCCGGCAACATGGAATTGACGGAAGAATTGCGCCCGAAGTGGCGGGTCGGGAAATTTGGAGTTGGGTGAATTTCCGGGGCAGATACGCGACGCTGCGGGGTACCCCGGCATTACCGTGAGCCTCGTTCAGGAGTAGCATCAAGCAGCGACCACAAAACGGCTTCTGAGTCTTCGGACGCTCTCACGATACAATCGTAATAATGCCGGACGCCCCCACATTCGTACCACCAACAACCCAACCCATGATGTTTTGAATCGGCTTTTTCGTAGCCCATGTGCAGAGTCCAGAACGGGAGTGTTTCAATCGGTTGCTGCCCGCAAGCAAGCAGGTCAGTGATGAAAGGCTGCATGGATACGACGTGAGCCAAGGACACACCCATTCTTAACGGCAGATCTTGCCACCACCAATTTGAGGCATCCAGACAATGCCATACTCCAAGCATCCTCATGGTATCAAGATAAACTTGTTCCACGGTGTTGTCATAATTCACAACAGGACGGAGCTCCTCCGAGACCAGGCCTAGCATACCGTATAACTTCTCTCGAGGGTCTTCGCAGTCCATACCAGAAAATTCTCTCAGCATATTGACAAGCAAATGCTTATACCCAGGTTCAATGCGCTCTGAATGGGCGTAACGGTCAGTTAGTAGCCACGTCACCCGTTGGAGTGTTGGGTGCTCGAGATAATCAGCCCACAATGCAGCTTGCTTTAGGGTATCCCAGTGTATCCAGGTATCACCGCATAAGATGCGTGCCTCTTTTGGTAGCAACACTTCCTGCACAATCCAGAGACGTGTGAAGTAGCGATTTTCTAGTATGGCCTTCGTATTTGCAGCATTTCTGATCTTCGAGTATCTTCGCGCCGCTCTTGACGAAGATAAACCAAGCCAAGCGATAACATAGATGCATCCACTGTAAATTCTAGCCATCAAGCGAACTTGATGGTTGCGTTCCGCTGTATCCTGCTGGTTGATGCATATCTGAGTAATCGGTATCAGTCCACATATATGTTAAAGAGGAGCCATGGAGCATACCTGGTCGATCCAGAGGTGGCGAATGTTGGCATCATCTGAGCGAAAGGCGTATAAGAAGTCGAACAAATTCATTCTAACGGCCATTGCTTTGTTGCCTACGATAATATGTTGATTATTCGATGCATCACCCCAGGTGTATGACAGAGCGATATGTTCGGGTACAGTATCGAGATCGAACGTCTCGAGTTCGCAGTGGATCATATTCCGGTCGGGTAGTACGTTCGCGGCAGATGGAGGTCGCGATAGTTTCAGGAGACGAATCTGCTGCTTCTTTGTGTCTAATCTTGTGTATTGATAAACATTCGCAGT